AGTCCCACATGATATTTCCACAAGTCCATTTATTCCCTTGGTTCAACCGAGTGGGTATACTGCAGAAAGGTCAAGAATGCAGCTGAAATCATTCATTGGCCACAAAGCAGAAGAGATGTACGTGTACAGGTCTTTGCCTCTTGGTCAAGACCGAAGACGTAACCGTTATTGGCTGTTTGTTGCCTCTGGCTCTAGTCATGATCCTGGTTCTGGGCGGATCTTTGTTGAATCACCCAATGGCTTTTGGAAATTGATTGACACTGAAGAGGTATAATTTTAAGGCATTATGCTTCTCTTGTCCATACATGATAGGGTGCAATGGCGTCGTTTGATACATGTAGCCGACCCCACCTATTGGGATAAGGCTTTGTTGTTGTTGTTGTTGTTGTTGTTGTTGTTGTTGTAAGCTTCTCTTGGCCGCATAATTTTTTCTTTCCAATTTTGCTTTGCCTAAGGCTGCCCAAGCCCTGCTAGCCTCTCGTCTGCCTCTACCTGACAACCATCATCATTACTTATCCATTGTTTGGTTAAGGAGAAAAACATAGAAGAGAAAGAAGAAATAGACAGAAAAGAGTGCTTTGTTTTTTGTAATGTTTGGTATGGTAAAAATAGGAGAGAAAATGGAAGTAAAGAATGCTACTTGCAAAAAGGAAAACATACCCACAACATACCACATTGAAATGTTAGAGGTATATTTTAAGCAAAAGGGAAACGTTCTCTCTCTCTCTCACACACACATTTTTACCCACCAGGGAATTTATTGAAAGAAGTTGATCGGTCTCATTTTTTTATTTCTTCCCATCCCAATCCAAACAATATTTCATGCCTTTCCCCTATTCTCATTTTCTTTTGTCCATATTTTCTTCTAGCAAACAATGTGTTAAATGGAAGGCTAAATGGCCCAAGTTTCCATAACAAGTGCCTTTCACTGAATGTTTTTTTTTTTTAATTTGCAGGCATTTGACATTCTTTTAACATCTTTGGATACAAGAGGGCTTAGGGAATCTCATTTACATATAATGCTGCAAAAGATTGAGATTCCTTTTAGGGACCGTGTTCGAAAGAATACATTACAGAACTGTTCAGTTGCTTACCCTTATTATGATGCTGGTGGTGATAGTCCTAACAGTATGGTGTGCAGTACAAGTTCTGATAGAGTAGAACCATCTTTCAAAATTGAACTGGGAAAAAGCGAGGTGGAGAAGAGGAATGTGTTGAGGAGATACCAAGACTTCCAGATTTGGATGTGGAAAGAACACTTTGGGCCTCCAATCTTGTGTGCATTGAAAGATGGGCAGAAACGGCGATTACCTTTGTTAGGAATATGTGATCGTTGTTTTGTCACATTTCTTTTTGAAGAAGACTTCTGCAGCTCTTGCCGCAGAGTGTTTGGGAAAGTTGATTTTGTCGTAAAACTTATGGAGCCAGACATCAGCTGCGAGGACATGATAAAATCTGACATGGAGGATTTGATTATCTCTAATACTTGTCCCCTTGGAATCATATTGATCAAGGCCATGTTGTCTGTGCTTGAGGTCAGGTTCCCGTGCTATAATTTCATTAATCATTTTGTTTCAAGAGAGATATTAGAGAATTGCCTTCCCAAATTGTAGAATGTTCATACATTCTAGTCCATCCATTTTCACACAATGAAAGACTAGAAAGTATGGAGTATTCATAGTTGGAGATGGACAATTGTTGAAAATGGGCAATTAATGCTCACTTGATCTTTAAAAAATGTGAATGATATAAGAACACCCCCCCCCCCAAAAGTGACAATTGTTATTGGATAATTCTTAACCTTCTCCCTCCCACAGGCTTCTATTCCAAGCGAAGCACTCCAATCTTCTTGGACGGAAGACACCAGGAGGATATGGGGTTTAAAGCTGCACAACTCATCATCCACTGAGGAACTTCTGCAGGTTTTTCATTTAATTCGACATTTATGTGCGGTTGGGTTTTTACAAGTTCCTAAGAGAAATAGTGCCCAAATGCAGTTTCGTAAACAAACTGGTTCCTTTAAAAACATTTTCCTCCTCCCTCTTGTTTACTTCAGCTGCTTTTAACTTTGCACGAGGAGAATAGTTTCTTAATGGTTGTCAAATTCGTTGCAGGTTCTTACTCAGTTTGAAGGCTTTGTAAAACGAGATTATCTGTCATCAAGTTTTGAAACAACAAGGGAGTTATTGGCACAGTGCTCTTCTTTACGAGCTCCCACTCTTCAAAATGGCTTTCATGAATATCTCCCATGGATACCATTAACCACTGCTGCTGTGGCACTCAGACTATTTGAATTTGATTCATCTCTTTCATATGATGGGGAGCTGAAAGCTAAGCCTTGCTATGATGCACAGAAAGTTGAAACTTTTACAGTTAAGTATACCCGCAGCCTCACTCCCTTTAGTAAGTTGAATTTCTATGAAATCAGTTTCAGGAAATGAGACACCCCTGAAAAGGGTATTGACAGAACAGGATGGGTTTAAACAAGTATGGACAAAAATGATATTATTTGTAAATGTTAGTTCTAATTTCTTTTTCGTTGTTGATTTATGTATCACACAGAAGACTCCTATGGATTATGCTTCCCTGAACAACATCCAGAAATTAGAACCCACAACATTGGACCAAGGGACACATGCAAAAGAGGAAAAGTGGAATTACTTGGGCAACACACCGGGTGGGTCCCGTGGGAGGCAAGCAGGCCGTGGCCGTGGAGGTGGGCGCCCACGTGGAAGAATACCCAAAGCAAATGCGGGACCCGTCTCCGAATTTGCCGCGCGCGGGAGATTACCTAAAGGAAGTGCTGCTGGACCAATATCTCGCGGCCGCCGGACTATAAGGAGAAGGAGAGAGACGGCTTTTGCCATTGAAGAAGAAGNNNAGGCAATGGCTATGAAAGAGTTGCAGGGCCAACATCTGAAATGGTGTATGGCAGGGAAGACGAAGGAAGAGTTCGGGCCGAGGACGACGACGACGATGACAACGATGATGTCAGCAACAGCGGGGAGGAAGAAATGGAATCCGGCGACAGTGGGGAGGAGAACGAAGACCCATACGATTTCGTCAAGTGGGGCTCACCAAGCAACGAGGCGATGGAAATGTCAGACGAGGAGGCAAACACTAGTGGCAGTAGGAGCTGCAGTAGTGACGACGGCGGAGATGGCGGCCAATATCTGATAGATGGTCAGAATTTCGGCGGCGGTGGCGGCGAATACATTGTTGAAGATGGTCAAAATCTCGGCGGCGGCGGCGGCGATGTGTACACGGATGACGGCGATGACTCGGACCGGAATGATGACGGGCAAGGTGGTTCGGGGTCGGGTTCGGGTTCCGATGAATATGAAGACTACAGTGACTGATGAGTTAGTTCAATGGACCCACACAAATGTGTAGCTTTCCTCTGCACTTGGTAACAAACAACACCCTTTGTCAGTCAATTAGGTCAGTTTTTCTTCTTCTTCTTTCTGTAATTTGTTTTGGTTTAGGAGTGGGGGAAAAATGGCATGGAAGGGTTGGGGTGGCACACACACATATAAATATTACTTACATATAGTTGTGATTTTCAGTCATGTTTGTGTGGAGTTTTTTGTATGAGAGGATGCAGAGATGTTTGTGTATAAAAGCTGTAAGGTTGGTGTAGAGTAATTATTGTAGAAGTGAATAGTGTGTTTCAATTGTAGCATATACTGATCAGAGAATATCACAATGTTTTATTTTTTGGCAATAGAATATGAGAAGAGTTTTTCATTTTTGTAGTGCCAACTTGTTGGCATATACTCTAAATCAAACATAGTGTAAGTCCAATAATTACAGACATCACAAACACAACATGAGCTGCAGAGGTGAGATATAATATGAGCTGCAAAATTTGAAGTATAAACCTCTCTTTGGGACAGACAGAAAAATGTAAAACTTTATGTATCGATCAAAAAAGTATAATGCGAGCGTTTTTATTCAAACCTTTTCAAAAATAAAATTAAATTTCACTTATTTGATACTCCCTCCGTCTCAATTTAAATTGTCTGTTTTGATTTTTGGGCATATTTAAGGAAAATAAAAAATAGAGTTGATTTTCCGAAATTGGCATTACTTTTTAGGAGGGGTGATGATGAATGAGAAGATAAGGTGAAGAAGTGTGACTTATTTTAGGGGTACTTTAGGTATTTTATTTTTAAAAGTTTACGAAAACAACTAACAGGCAACTTATTTTGGGACGAAGGAAAAATGCAAACAAGCAATTTAATATGGGGAGGAGGGAGTATTTCTTTAACAAACAAATGAATAAGAAAGATGAAGTATTGGAGATGAGACAAGTATTGAGTGTGAGATGAGAAATACACGAGAAAAAAAGGATTAGCAACATCACCCAGGGCACCCTTAGTAGAATCGGCTTGATGATCACCTGAGAGAAGTTAAATTGAACTGTAATCAAAGATTGGTTGGTAAAGAATGAAACCTGCACTAGGTGTTTGCAGAGATCTTAAGCTTACCATAGTCGCTTTCTGGTATAGTTTGAAGGAATCAAACTCAGGTTTACCTGTTTGGCATCCCTTGCTCAATCAACTGAGCTATACCCACCAGCGAAAAATACTCAAGAAAGTAAGAAACACGACTGCGACAATAAAAAAAGAAAGATGAGTATGAATGTCTAACTCGAAGTTACCGATTTAAGAAAATTAAAATACCCCCGCAACTCTAGAATGTTTGTCCAATGTTAGTTTTTTATAGTCAACCTTTATCAAGCTTTTAACATCTAATTAAATAAAAATTACTATATACTCCATATTATTTAGACAAAACAATATTTTTAGAAAATATTTTATAAGATAGGTCTAATAAAATTATTTTTATTAATATTTAATACTCCTTCAATTTTATTTAATAATCGTCAAAAAGTTTTAATTCTTATTTCTAATTTTTTAGATTAAGCGTTTTGAATAAAATTTAAATACTGCAGATCAATTGTAAAAATGTTAAAGCTACAATCACTACAGTCTACAAGTCCGCAAGTAGACTGCCGCCACAATGATTTCCAGTCTTCCTGTTGACCGGAACACCCCGTCAGCCATGTCTGCGTTTTCCGCCTCTCTCGCCACCGCCGCCGGACTATCTCCGACGAAGGTCTCCGTTCCTTCATCTCTCACTCTCTCTCGTCCGTTTGCCACTTCTTTCTCTCTTTTCTGGCCGCAAACCTCCATTGCCTTGAAAGCTTCGCGATTGCAAGTCTCGGAGAATCGTGAAGTGCTGACGGAAACAAGCTCCTCGTCCGCCGCCACGGTCGCAGTGCGCAACGAAGAGTCATTGGACTGCACCGTGTTCGAAGTGCGGGCTCGGAATCGAATCGGGCTGCTCCAGGTCATCACCAGGGTTTTCAATGTCCTGGGATTGAAAATCGACAGGGCAGTGGTTGAATTCGAGGGGGAATTGTTCGTCAAGAAGTTTTACGTCACTGATCTCCGGGGCCGGAAGATCGAGGACGATGAGAATTTGGAGAGGATTCAGATGGCGTTGATGGATGCAGTGGAGGGGGGAGGCCATGGGGCGGTGGCGCCGAGAGTGGGAGATGGTGGGAGAGGGGTGGCGTTTAGGAAAGCTGGGTTAGGAATTGATTTGGGGGACAGGAAGGGGAAGGCGGAGAGGATGTTTGGGTTGATGGATGGGTTCTTGAAGAATGATCCTGTTAGTCTGCAAAAGGATATTCTGGATCATGTTGAGTTCACTGTGGCTCGATCAAGGTTCAACTTTGACGACTTTGAAGCATATCAAGTAATGTGATTGTTTCTGTTTACCATTAAGTTTCATTTGGAAGTTCATTTTGAAGTTGAATAGCATTTTGATGTTTCATTTGTGATTGTTTGATTATTTGTATGCTCTTAAAGGGCCCTAGTTTTCTCCCCAGCCTGAGCCTTGCCTAATCTCACTTATATATAAAGTTCTAAAACACGTGAGGGGTCGCAAGGAGGTAAGAGCATCAACAATGGAAAGTATAAAAATGGAATGCCACACGTTGATGTGGCACATTTCAACCAATAAAAAATAATTCAGTCAGCGTGTGGCAAGTGAGTGGAGTGGCATGTCTTGCAGTGGCAAGTCAATGATTTTATCAGTTTTTACACTTTTTTGACATATTTTAATTATTAAAAACTATTTTTTTATCTTTTTTTAAAAAAACATTTTTCTACTTCTTTTAAAAAATCTTGTATTTTATGAAGAAAAAAAAAGAGCCGTTGACACACGCATGGAATGCAAAGCATGGCAAATTGCCCATGCCTTGCAAGGCATTTTATAAAAATTGATGATGTGGCAGCGTGGCAGTGGCAAATCCACGCCACTGCCGATGCTCTAAGGTCAAGTTTCAAAAGAAGCTTAGGTGGGCTTAGGTGAAGCCTAGACGTGAAAGGATTTTTTTTTTGTATTTTTTACTTTTATTACTTTTACTCCCTCCGTTTCTTAAAACAATTCTACTTTCATTTTTTGCGCATCCACAAAACACTTCTCCCCCCACCTAAAATGTTTAAAAGACTCTATTTCTCCTTTATTGCGGGTAGAAGTTGCTTTGGAGGATATTTTAGACATTTTAGGTGGGGTAGAAGTGTTTTGTGGAATGCACAAAAAATGAAGGTGAAATTGTTTTAAAAAACGGAGGGAGTATTATTTTACATTGATACGTAAGTAAACAAAATAAATATTTGACATATTTTATTCAAATATTAACACATTTTAACATTTTCAATAAATTCTCCTTATAGACTTTAATAGTATAACAAATTCCAAATACTCGTACAAACTAGAGTACCGTTAGGTTTTAGGGGTTTTGCTGCTATATCACATAGCTAACACAATTGAATTTCTTTTATTATAGTTTAGCCAAACTTTGAAAGAATATTGTTCGATCAGAAAAAAGATCATGCCTTTTCATGACTAGGCCTTTGGTGTCAACTTACAAGTGACTGCCTTTTCCCTGCCACTGCATGTCTAAGCACTGCATTTTGCCACCGTTTAGACTAGAGCTTATATCTATCTCAACCATGACTAATACAACCAATAGCTAAGCCCCGTAAGTTGCCTAGGGGTGCCGGCCTGCCGGGTGCCTACCACATACTCCGTAGCTTACAACTTGGCCTGCATGGTGATACTTTGTATTAACTATGGTACAACTGTATGAGCAAACATCCATTTTAAAACCCTGCATAGCGTTATTGTTATACGTGAACCAACCCATATGGATGTATTTTTTGTGTTCTTCATTTTAGTGACGTCCAATCATTGACTTTTTGGTCTGTGTACCAGGCATTGTCGCACAGTGTAAGGGATCGTCTTATTGAAAGATGGCATGATACACATATCTATTTCAAGAAGAAAGATCCCAAGCGAGTATACTTCCTTTCGCTTGAGTTTCTCATGGGTATTTACTTTGCACAAGTTTGTTTTTGCAAGAATACGTTCTTATTTTCTGTGTTGGATGAACTGAATGGTAGTGTTGGATGTATATTGTCCTACCACTTACTACAGAGTATTTGGATGTTTTTGCGTCTCCCCCCTAATTAGTGTCAATTTAAAATCCATTACACTTAATGTCAATCTGTCATTTATTTACATTTCGTATGATGAATGAAGCTTTCTTTTCCGGATTGTTAGGTCGTTCTCTATCAAATAGTGTCATAAACCTTGGCATCCAGGACCAGTATGCTGATGCTTTAAGCCAGCTTGGGTTTGAGTTTGAAGTCTTAGCTGAACAGGTTCGCACATTTTTGATTGAGTTTTTGACATCTAGTTGTTACTATATATGGAGTATTAGATTCTTACTTTTCATCTTTTTCCTACACTTTCTAAGATAAGTTAGACTGAATAGTAGAATGACCTAGAATCTAATTCTTTTATAAAATTCAGAATGTGAAGCTTTTTGGTCTTTTTATCCAAATTCTTAAGGTGCATCATCAGAATCCATCATCCGTAGAAATAATAAGGTTTTTAAAATTATTGATGTAGCAAATATTTACCCGAAAGGGCATTCAACCACTTAAATATGTTTTTAGTTTTTACCAAGCTTTGTTCTTGCATACAACTTTATTTGATTTAGGTTCACAAGTCACAACTTGATTAACTTATAAAGCCTGTAACTCCCTTCGTCCTAGAGTGTTTGTCTAGTTTTTATTTTTTGCAGTCAATCAAGATCAACCTTTGACCTACAATTGAATAAAAAAGATATGGTACATTAATTAGGTAAAATAGGTTTTTTGAAAATACTGTACTAGATAAATCTAATAAATGATTATGTATCAAGATACATCTAATAAATCTAGTATCAATTTGATTTTATTGATGGTCAAAGTTTGTCAAAATTGGACAAACACCCCGAGAGAGAGGTAGTATAATGTTTATACAAAGAAATAATAGTGAGAATGGGAAACCATAATGTTTCTAAAGTAGGGTAATATGTAATGTCATTGTTTTTTACATTTTTATATTTCAACAGTTTTATGAACATTGAATTTGTTGCAAATCATTTTTCTTCATTTCATCACTTGTAAATTTTCAATATCTTCTTCATTTATCTTCAAGGAAGGAGATGCCGCACTTGGTAATGGTGGTCTAGCTAGGCTAGCAGCTTGCCAGATGGATTCTTTGGCAACACTGGACTACCCTGCTTGGGGGTATGTTTTATGCTTGTTTTATGAAGATACATTCCTTTTATTGGATTTTATCTTCCTCCTGAGCATGGAAATTCTCTACTAAACCAAGGATGGGGAAACAAGAACAATGATATGAAGTTCTGTATTAATGATCCTTGCTATATCTTGTGTGTGTGTGTGTGTGCCTCTAAGAAACAACCTCTCTACTTTCTAAGCATAGTTATTGATGGCGCTCGCCATTTGCGCTTATGGTGCAGCCGCGCAGAGGCGTGCTGTTTCCGCCCTAAATGGCTTTGACCGGAGAGGATGTGTATACGCAGACCTTATCCCTATTTTTCCTTCCTCACCCAAGGTTGATCCCTCCCCCAACCCTGCCCAATTAACCCTACTGGGTCGATCCAAATAAAATTCTAAAATATATGAACAATCAAAAGTCCAGATAGCAATTGCCAAGGGGTTAATTTGATTAGCAAAATGAAGCTCCATTGGGTTTGAATCAACAGCTTTTTGTTCTTTTCAGTTATGGACTACGTTATCAATATGGGTTATTCCGTCAAATCATAATGGATGGATTTCAACATGAACAACCTGATTATTGGTTAAATTTTGGAAACCCCTGGGAAATAGAACGTGTTCATGTATCATATCCAGTGAAGGTTTGAAAGTATTAATCCTATCCGTTCTACTATTTCTACAATAGAATTTTCCATTAATTGTTTTGTACTCCATACTTTTCTCTCCTGTCTGACACTAGCTTCTCTGAATCTCTTCCTTGAAAGTTTTATGGGACCGTTGAAGAGAAAGTTTCAAATGGGAAAAAGTTTAAAGTTTGGATACCTGGAGAAGCAGTGAGTATTTCAATCTCCTTTTTTTGCAGCAAATCATCAATATTGATTTTGAAATTTCAAGTTTTTAGGCAAGATGATATTTTATCTACATTTGCAATCATTCTGACACAGTCACAAATCCTAAATTTCTTTGCTGGTAGGTTGAAGCAGTTGCTTATGACAATCCTATACCTGGTTACGGAACACGGAATACCATTAATCTGCGACTATGGGCTTCAAAACCAAGCAACCAATGTGACATGGTAATAAAATTTGCATTGGCTAGGGCCTTTTTTATTCGTTAATTGATACTTTTAATGGATATTGCATGGTTCAAGAACTTGTACCCCCCCTCCCCACCACACACACACATCTGTCCCAGCCCAAAATAAAGTTCCCACTTTCTTCTTCCGGATGTTCCAAAGTAACGTTCCATGTGGTTCACATTATTATTTTTCCCCGCATAAACTTCCACCACACATTTATACTTTTTCATGAACTCTGCAAAAAAGCAAACATGAACTTTTTTGGACAGAGGGAGTATTTTTTCCCCTTCTGATTATGATTCGCATATACTGAATCATACACAGTTCATGACTTTCTTATGTGAGGTAACATGAGTGTTGACCTAATAGACACTTAAAGTGTTGCTTGTATCATTGCATATTTGGACGACAAGTTGTACCTCTTAGAAAAGGCAACTGTGCACTGACTACTTCTAGGCACATTTATTTTTTTCGAAAAGAAAATGTTGCACTCACTTTCTCTCACTGTGGTTTGCAGGAGTCCTATAACACTGGAGACTATATTAATTCAATTGTAAACAGACAGAAAGCTGAGACTATTAGCAATGTTTTGTACCCTGATGACCGCTCTTACCAGGTCAGTTCCTCATTATTCAATTATTAAATTGAGTCATTCACTCCAAAAAAATCTTCAAAAGGTGAGATTTAATATATATTAGACTCAAATGGGACACTCAACACACCTCTCATCTCAAACTGGGTTGTACAACCTAAAGGGGAGACTAATGAGTCAAACCAAACCCAAATGAGCTTCCACGAACCATGAGGTGAAACAAACAAACCACAACCAAACCAGGATCTAATATCATATCATATCAAATTGGGTCTAACTCCCACCAAAAATATCCTTAGAAGTGAGACTTACTTCACACTTATAGGGAAACGTCTGATATAGGACACTTAACATCTGATAAGGACACTTAACATCTCATACAGAAAACTTAACAATAATGTTTAGAATGTTTTCCTTGGAGAACTTTGCAGTTTTATTTCTCGCATTTTGGTAGGTATCTTGATGGCTCTGATATGTTTGTATTGAGCTATGCATTATGGTCCTATGAGAGATAATATAAGAGGATGTCAAAGTGTTCCTCTCGTATATGGTGATTGGTAAGAGACTCATGCTGCAGAGATGATTTGGGACGCAAGTTGGATGGAAGAAAACCTGCAAGAATATTTTTTTAATTCAATTCCAACTTGGCTTCCAAATAAATTATTATTTCTTTTATATAAGAATTACAATTGTAATTAATTTGGAGAGGCAATCATTGTCATAGATGAGAAATTTGAACTGTTAAATAAAATAAAATGAGAAAGGCCTTCAAAGACATCATCTTGATCTTAGGCACGGGTTCAATCCTATAAATTACTCTTCTGCAAGCTATCTTCCTGGGTTACAGTTTGCCCGACGCCCATATCATTGCACTACGCGGCTATGCCTGAAGATCAAGCTTGTCCTCAAGCTTGAAAACTCAAACATGGCACTGAATAATTGCACTAGTAGAGAGTGCCAGTGATCCTTGTGTTCTTGAATGAGATTGAAAGCTTATTACAGTGTTGGACTAAATCAATGGTGAGCACCATCCCTTAGAAATGATCATGAAAGACGATGATCAAATGAGGCGATTTCAGAGGACAAAGAAGGATCTCAAAGGTTTGAGTTGTAGTTAAATTTGAGCAGTCTTTCATGTGGGGAGGCTGCATCATTGGTGTTAGGGGCAATTTTGGCAGCAATGTGAGCATCATTGCCGGCTGGAGTTGAGGAGGTGGTAGAAAAATTGGCAGTGTTGGAGGCAGAACTTCAATAGGTGAAGTATTTATCGGTGGGGATGCTTCTTCTATTGCCAAGGAATCCAATAATTGGACAAATGGACAATTTTGTCATATTGTTTAGAATTGCATGGGGGTTGTGGACAACAAAGGTAGGCATGTTTTCAAATTCATGCCCCCCAGCCTGAGGTTGAATCGAATCAAGAGTTGTTTTGCCATCTTCTCTATAGTAGTAAGTGTTATGCATGTGTAAGTGGTGTTGTTGAAATGGCTGTGGTGAAGGAGTGGGTGGTAATTTTGTCCTGTTGGGTCTCTAGGAGTCTAGGGTATGAACAGATTTTTGCAATGCTTTGAAAATGGATTCATCAGTAACAGGACTACCTAAAATGCTGGCAGCAGGAACCAAAGGATGGCATAGCTTCCTCTCACCTATGATGGCAGATAGCTAGTAAGAGATTCACATGGCAGTGAGGAAGAGGGATACTAGTTTGATGGGAAAAAAAACTTTGAAGAATACCTTTTTATTCAAATCCAACTTGTCTTCGAATTGCATATCCTTTGCTTATTAAATTGTAATTTTATAGAATCAGTGCACTTGATTATGGGCCGGTGGCGGGAAATTACAAGATTTCGGGGTAGTGGATTTTAAAACAATGTGGTAACTTATGCGTACATGTTTAAAGGGTATTAGAGATCATGATGAAGGGATACTTGAGATTATTTAGAGAATTGATGCACGAGCATTGGAAAATTAAACAAAGATTTTGAAATTAAGGCTAGTCAAAGTAATCTAGTCGTGAATGTGATGGTTTAGAATTGCTGCGCTATGCTAGAAGAAGAATGCATTGCTTCCATCCACAGTGCACCTTATATTAGAATGTGTTTTTTTTTCAGAAAATTTTAATAACCAGAAGTCTATGTACCTCAAACATTTCTTTTGTAGTTAGTTTGTATATTTCACTGTTATCACTCATCACATTTTTTTCTTCATTTGTTAAGAACAAGTAATTTATCTTTTAAACATTGTTTGTTTGGTTCTCGCGTCTACTTTTCAGGGCAAGGAACTACGTCTGAAGCAACAATATTTCTTTGTTTCAGCATCATGCCAAGACATTATTAGGAGGTTTAAAGATCTTAATGATAACTTTGAACTATTTCCAGAGAAGGTGGTTACTCTTTTGTGGAATGGTTTGTTTCTCCTTGTTCAAACCATTAAGGAGTTCAGAATTTCAATTTTTTGCGGATGTTTGAGATGCACTGTTCTTAATCTATTCTGATCCTTCAAAACTTTGTTTTCAGGTTGCTCTTCAGATAAATGACACCCATCCATCTCTTTGCATTGTTGAGATAATGAGAGTGCTCGTTGATGAAGAGAACTTTCCTTGGAGTAAAGCATGGGATATTGTGTGCAAAACATTCTCCACCACTATTCATGCAGTACAACCTGAAGCACTTGAGAGAATTCCTGTAGATCTATTAGGCAGTATTCTTCCACGCCATTTGCAGGTGCATCTTTGAATCACAGTATTTTGCAAAGTTGAGATGAGAAGGTTTAGACTTAGCTTTTACTTTGTTTTCTAAACTTCATTTGGTATATTCATGTCTCTCAAAACCGATCTAGCATCTGAAACCTCATAATAGAAGGGAAGAAAATGTAGATAAAGATGGAAAAATAGCAAAGAAAATTTCCTGTTGAATATTGACTAAACATATACCGTAATATTGGATTACTTCTCACAAGTCCTAGAGTGATTATTTAGCATGACTACCTTTTCTCGTACTAGATTTTGGAATGAGGATAATTTTCTATCAGCTAATTCAAACTCTTTTGTTTTCAAATTACCTCTCTACCAGATTATATATGACATAAACTACAAATTCATGGAAGAGTTGAAAAAACAATTTGGTCAGGATTACAGTCGACTTTCTCTCATGTGCATCGTCGAGGAAGGTGCTGTGAAGGTACTGAAAAAACATTGAAAAACTCCAAGATACACAATACATTGTTTTTCTCATTTACCAGAGAGATATATGGTCTTTTGCTTCCTTAGATGATCTGATACAGCATATTTTTGCTACCGTCAATCAAAAGATCTCTTCAGTATTGCACTAATACTTCATAAAGAAACAAAGATGAGAGCCATTTTTATGCTTTCAATCAGTCTATCTCACCCTCACACCCACCTCACTCCCAAAAAAGTACAGAGAGGGATCAATTAGTTGGCCTTTAGTAGATGCATTTGAAAACGTTGGCATGTAGTAGACACATTTTAAATCAGTTAAAATAATGATGCACAACTTTCTGTGTTGCTGTGGTGGTCTACGGAGTTATGGTGAATTAGTTGGCCTGCAATAGCTCATAATGAAATCTTATTTTCTATATGCGATGTGCTTTTATTTTTTGCCCAGTTGTAGCTGATAATGAAATTTTATTTCAACGTCATAGAGTATAAGAATGGCAAACCTGTCTGTTGTTTGTTGCCACACTGTGAATGGAGTTTCCAGAGTGCATTTGGAGACATTGAAGCAAAAAGTATTCAAGGTTATTGCTTTTCACTTTTCCCCTTCTTGCTTTATTTAATCCAGTAATACTTTTTATACGTAGTATGTTATAACTTGAAAGTTTGTACTCCCTCCTATTGATGTATAAATGTTTGAGAGTAGTATTCTTCTTTTGTTTCTTATTCCCCAGTTTTTCTTGGGGTCGTTGGGGATTTGGAAAATGGCAATGATGCCGGCCGGAGTAGTTAAATATTTTCTTACACCAGGAAGTGTGGTGCTTTGGAGTGGAAGCATATGGCCGCGGAACAGTTTAAAAAACTAGACTTGGATTGTAAAAGTTGTAGACTTTGTTTGAAAACAACATTTTGGATAATATTTTAATGGTGCACATTAATTTTAAAAAATGCTAAAGCTAAAAGCTAATGTTGGATAGCATTTTTAAAACACTAGCTAAACTCTGAAGCCAATACCAAACAGAGCCCTAGAATCATACAACAACAACAACAACAACCCAATAGAATCCCACGGAGGTAGGTTTTGGGGAGGGTGTGTGTACGCAGACCTTACCCTATTCGGAAGTAGAGAGGCTGTTTCTAAGAGACCCCTGACTCAAGTAACACAGGAAGCACGCAGCACGTAGAAAGAAGCATAAAGCAGGCTAAAGATAGAAAAAAACAAGAAGCACCAAGTGTATGTAGCACACATTGTTAAGCACCAAAACTACCAGTATACTACCCAACTATCCTAATCCTATCTCTCCAAACACTCCTATCTAAGGTCATATCCTTGGTAAGGGCCAAAAGTCTAAGGTCTTGGCTAACCACCTCTTTCCAAGTCCTCTTAGGTATACCCTTCTCACATTCCCACCCACCATGAAAAGCCTCTCACATCTGTGGAAAGGAGCCTCTGCACTTCACTGTTTCACATGTCCAAACCACCTCAGCCTAGCTCCCCGCAGCTTACTCTCCACATAAGCCACTCCCAAGCCCCAACCATTACCGAATAACGTTATTCCGAAATTAGCTATCGGGGACAGTGAATTACTAATGGTCGGTCGGTAAACCCAATAAGGCATCTAAGTGTGCATTTCTCACTCCCATGACATTATTTTATTGTTCTAATGTAGAATGTGAATCTCACACCTTGTTTTCTAAATAAAAAAAAGTTATTACAACTGAGGCACATGTATTGATATGGTTGCTCCAACAGGATTTCTATGAGTTGTGGCCTCACAAATTTCAGTACAAGATGAATGGCGTTACACAGGTACATGTGCCCTTTTTTATTAGTAACTCAGCAGGTTTTATATACCTCTGTGTAGTAAATAATAATAATAATAATAATAATAGTAATAATAATAATAATGATAATACTAATAATAATAATTACTACGGTACATAGTTACATACCTACGAGCAAGAGTATTGAAGAATAATAACTTTTTTTTCTTACGAGTTTTGAAGAATACTTCTTCTCCCCCCCCCCCCCCACCCACAAATTTTCATGCTCTAGGTTGTGACTCAGTAATAATCTATCAAGTTCTGCAGCCTCTGGTTTTGGAGTTGATAATCTTTCATAGTACTTCTCAAGCTACTATTTTCTGTTAAATTTGTTGTTCCCATAACATATTAACATTGTTCTGTAGGGCATGAATGATCATTTATATTTCAGTTCTAATTCCTTTATTCCCTTTTTTTAACATAAATTGTTTCTTTCTTCATTAGATTTGACAAAAAATATGTTTAAGTTTAGTATCTTTTACAAGTTCTAGTACAGTTTAGAAATATAAGCTTACAAGTTGTTACTTGTCAGCGACGCTGGATTGTGGTGAGTAATCCAAGCTTGTGTTCAATTATTTCAAAATGGCTTGGAACAGAAGCTTGGATCAATAATGTTGACATCATAGCAGGCTTACGAGATTATGTTTCTGATCCTGCCCTCCATAAAGAATGGAAGATGGTACAAGAAAACTCTGCTTTATGGTTGTG